AAATAATTTATTCATTTTCTCCATACATAATATACGAAATCTAAAAAAAAAACTGGAACACCATAGTAGTACCCACGTAATAAGAGAACGATTGTCACAATTTCATGCTTCTATGTCCAGCAGACACTGTTATCGTAGTAGATGGTTAAGAATATAAACTACGTATTTAAAGACTTACATTAAAATTAGATTTTAACAAAACCATACCATGCATTAAGATACTAATAGCGCCATCTAGGTAAAAGAATAATATTTAATTTTTCATTTATCCGGTGGATACAAAATTAGAGCATATAACTCCTGGGTAATACCTAGCCTTCTATATACTTTTGGTGTTACAAGGTGGTCTCAAACAGAATTGGATGACTTAGATAGACGAGTCCGTACATTAATGACTACGCACAGAATGCACTACCCACGATCATCTGTCATGAGGTTGTATCTTCCAAGAAAAGATGGTGGACGGGGCTTATTAAATATTAAAAACCTACACAACCGTGAAGTATACAACCTCAGAGACTATTTTATTAAAAAAAAGACACTTCACATATTCATAATGACGTAGTGATTAATTGACAAATCATTAACTCCGCTTAATATGTCGGCAAAGGACTGGCAGAGACCTCATACTATGACTATAGATGAACGCAAAAAAGGTTTGGAATGACAAACAACTGCATGGTCGATTTTTTAAATTATTGACTAATCCTTATGTAGACATGGTTGCATCAGTACATTGGTTACAATTTGGTGACCTTTTTGCAGAAACTGAAGGTTTTATCTATATTTAATTTATTATTACGGTAAAATAAAGGCTATGATATTCTGAAAATATCGGGTAAAAAAATAGTAACTCAAAAGTGTATGATGTAATTTTTTAATCTCAATACATTAAAAATTTTAAAACTTTTTGTAACTGCAAGACGAAGGTGTATGCCTACTGCCCAGCTCCTGTGATAGATAGAGTGATAAGGTATAATAATTACAATGGCTCAACTCTTACGTAACATTGTAGTGAGAGTTCCATCCAAGTCCGTTTTAGTATTATGCGCGTACAGACAGACAGGCAACGTTTCCAAAAAAAAAATGTTTTCGTATGTGTATAAATAAGATAGTGCAGTGTAGTAGTTTGTAATTTCAAAAAATATTTAAAGTACAGAAATCGTCGTATTAGAACTTTATTATAGTTTAGGTTTCATTGTAAAGATAGAAATCTTTGAACGTGAGGACGATATTTTCAAATCTATAACAATTCCGTAATATGCTTTTTTGTAGCGCAAGTTTCCCTATTCTAACAATTATAGGTATCATGTTTTTTTTTAAATTTAGATTTCTTACATCAGTGTTTATTTTAGGCATTCAACTAAAAGTTGACCTACCGATTCGCTTCGCGAGAAAGCGCCATAAGTAATAAAACAAAACGATATGTTTTAATTTGATAGCCTACAAGTAATTGTTCCGGGTCTGGATGTTTGTCTGTGAAATTTGTGTTTGTTAACCGTCCCCACAATACAGGAGAAAATCCTAGAGTTTTTGTAAAAAAAAACTGGAACACCATCTTTTACTCTCTAAGGTTTTAATTTTTTTTAATAATTTCGTAGTACCCACGTAATAAGAGGAAGATTGTCACAATTTCATGCTTCTATGTCCAGCAGACACTGTTATCGTAGTAGTTTTTAGTAATTTGCAGTCCTAGTGGTTCTAGTAGTTTGCAGTCCTAGTGTTTTTGTAAACGCCAGATCATGTGATCAGCAGTCGCGCTTACAATTACAAGATCAAAGAAGTAGAATGAATAGTTTGAAGTAAGCATACGATAGCCTTTTATTATTAAAACAATTGGTGTTAACTACCCGCTTACAAAGTGTTTTAATTATGGCAAATAATTTGAGACAATTTATGGTAAGGACTATGTTCAGCATTAGTCTTTGACGGGCTATATTGATTTTTTTGGACAGTGATAATAAAATTCGAAAGGTGTTGTAGTCGCTGGAGTTATTCAGAATCAAAATTATTCTGGTATTTTGAATAATTAGCGCAATAACCGATAACTTCTTAGGTGAAGGATATATTTAGGACAAGGTCCGTCATATAATAAAAAATTATAAGTAAACCTAACCTGTTTTGAAAACCGGCTCAAAGTATCAATGTAAATTATCGCTACTCGTTTGCATTTTTTATAATTGAATAAGTAAAATCGTCATAGCTAGGGTCGGCAGCTGAATATACATTAATTAAAAATAATCAGCTACCCAAGAATTAAATTATTGGAAGAAATACTTCTATTCCAAAAATACACCTAAATAAGTTATTTTTATATGATTTTTCAAATGTAACAGTAGTTGTTTTCAGTATATCGCATTTTATTCATTCATTACATTCATTTTATTTATTCGCTTAATTGTTTATATTTAAAGCATGCAAACAAACATTTTGCATTCCAGTCACGTGCGGGATCTGTCACGTAACGATAGGTGAATAAAGTGGACAGGCTCTCGACACTTGATATGAGGTGACGTTGCTTATTTTCGTAAAACAAAATACTATTTTTAACAAATTGTGGTTGCGTGTGTATTTCTGAGGTTAAATAAAAATATTATATTGTTAAACAAACATCATATGTTTTGTTGGCTATAGTTACTACGGCTGAAAGATATACGATAACGCCAGAGTAAAATTTAAATAACAAAGTACTATACATATTATTTAATATAATTTTATTTTTATTATGAGAGAAATAACAAGCCATTTAAAAAAAGTTGCATATAAAATTAAGAGAAGAAAATTCAATTAAACACAATAAATATTTCGAAAATTAATCTCACAAATAACTTTACAAAAATCAATCAACAATTGGAACTTTCCAAAACAACTTAGGTTCAAAGCATTAGCTTTTTATACTTCCGTTTATAATTAACAACTTTTACTGTAATTATTTGAAATGTTGCATTATCTAAACAAATATCTACACAAATAGTAATAAATAAAAGAATAAAATTGACTTGTCTGTTTGTAATGTCAACACAATAACAGTTTTTTTTTTACTAAATGCATATGAAAGTATATACGAAAGCCAGAATAGAATATGCAGACACCGAAGTATGTGGTGTTAGTAAGAGAAAGAATGAAAGGAAAAATAATACGTTGTGGTGGGACGATGAGATATGGAAGTTGAAGCAAAGAAGAGAGCAATGGCTAGATTTACTAGCAACAAAGGCTTGTAATTCTAGCGGTACGAATGATGATATTGAAAGAAAAAAAGGCAGCCTTTAGACATCTAAATAAGAGAGTAAAATAAGTAGTTAAAAGGGAAAAGCAAGAAAAAATGGATAAGAATGATAGAAGAGTATCGGATTACTTCCAGGAAAATATTTAAATGTTCTAGAAACTCGTAAAAACTGCCAGGAGACATTCGAAATAGCCTATAATGAATGAATATAAGAGACTAAAATTGCTACTGAACTCATTTGTGTTGAGCGCTGGGTTGATACAGGCATTAAAGTCTTTTATACGGACTCTAGTGCTTGTCTTAGGATCATCGGGGTCTAATCGGACTGGCTTAGAATCCATAAAGGTGTCGGACAGGGTTGTGTGGCTTCCCCGTGGCTGTTCAGCCTATTCATGGTTAGTTGTTTGGAAAATTTGAAAATTGAAGAATGCGGGTTAAGAATGGATGAGTTACCGTCAAATGCCTTTTGCATGCCGACGATCAAGTTATTCTTCCGTCGTCGGCGGCCGAGTTGCAAATGATGGTAAGATTAATGAACAGAGCGTTAAAATAAAGGGTTATGAAAGTGAACGCGAGTAAGACGGAAGTTATGGTTTTTGAACCAAGAAGAAAGTAAAACGATATGTGAAATAAGAATAGAAGGGGAGTTGATCGAGCAAGTAGATGAGTTTGTATATTTGGGATGTGTATTTAGCAAGGATGGGAGATATGAATTTTGTTTATCGGGCTAGAATGGATTGATTTTTTGCTGAGCTGAAGCCATCTTTTACCGTCACCGAGCAAAAAGAGAGCCCGGTGGTACCCTGATTCTTAGGAACCAAATGAGTGATCCCGGTAGTGCAGTGGGTAGGGAAAGACTTCTAGTCGGGTGCCTCTTTAAACTGTCGGGCGAGTACGTCGTGACACACTACGAACCTCTTCAGCCAGTAGTGATGCAGCCCGTCGAGTCGCGGACTTTTGCAGTTCGGGACCCTACGGACCGTATCAGCTAAGTCATCTGGCGTTATGATAACAGGGTCCATTACCGAGCATCTGATGGCGATGGCGTAATCCTCGCACACTGACTCGCCCCAACTTCCGTCTAAGGGCCTCGCTGTGGTTTATGGGATCTGACCTCAGGCCGCACCAGAATGTGACAGTGTCGGCCTGATTCGGTGCTGGGCCCGTTCCAGTTACCATTGGTCGATCCAATGATTATACGATACGATAGAGCCTCTTCTTATCACTCTGGAAGAGACAATTCCGATTAAACCATGTTGATCTCTCGGTATATCGCTGAATCCACTTTCCCCTGCAGCGATTCTCCGCTTCAGGTCGTCTATGCTCTCCGTCAGTTTTAGCATTATATCCGGCTGGGGCAAACTAACATTTGTCCCAGCAAACGCCATCCTGATGGTGCGCACAATCCTTGGCCTGTTATTGCCTGACCTGAAGCATATCAGTCTGCCGATGAGGGCCCTAGACTTTGTGATACGTTCTTCAATTCTTATTCCACAGGCTGGGATAGCATTACTTTGTCCACTAGCGCGTCCAGCCGTGGATAGTTCGGCGCATATAATACGGCAGACTGCCAGTGCGGCGACAAAAGAGATTGAGTTCGTCTCGCAAAGGTCCCGGCTGGCTTCCAATAGGTAACCAACATTGGGTTCAAAGCCCTTACGACAGCCCGATTCCACTTGCTTAGGGCTATGCGGCGAAGTCGCGGTCGATTTTCGAGAGACGTACTGTGCGTTTCTACAATCGCCTCTTCCAATATACTTCTCATTTGCTCTAATTACAGTTCCTGGGCGACTGTTCCAACATCGTTTGAATCAACCACAACTGCGGTATTCACGGCAGCATCCACGTTTGTGGGTTGCTTTGCATTTTGTGGTGCCGTATCTTCAGTCGTAGCATTTTCATCCGATGAGAGAACAGTCTCACGTCGTAGCCGTTCGAGTTCGGCGACATCAAATATATTTGAGCGTAAGATATACCGAACTCGGTCTGCCAGATTTTGCTCGGTGACGGTGATAGATGGCTCCAGCTCAGCAAAAAGTCGATGCATCCTAGCCCGATAGGCAAAACGTCAAATTTATCCCTCTGTTGCCTTGAAATACGCCCGCGATGCGTTACTATTCATCTGCATTGTACAACGCATGCGGCGTACCCCACCAGTTGTAGGTGCCGTGAGCGAAGTGCCGACACAACTGCTGGGGCAGCACTGGGGCGCGAAGCTCCAGACAGCGGCCTTTGGCGCGTTCTGTTTAATTTCATCATGCATTTAATGGGCGGTATTTAACGGGAGACGCCCAGACCAACGCCGTTGTATGGTGAGGCCATGTGCATAACGGACCTTTGCACCTTCAATTTCTTCGAGCCACGGCACTAACACATCTTGGCAAGGTGCTGACTAACTGCGCTGACGTAGCAGTTTTGTCACATAACCGCTACGCCAGCGGGCGATGGGGTCGTCACTTCCCTACGCCTCTTTATTCCATTTACTCTATTCCCTGTGTTTACTCGTCGTTCTACATTCTTATCATATCTGCCATTGCTTGCTAAATACGCATCCTAAATATACAAACTTATCAACTTGCTCGATGAACTCCTCTTCTATTCTTATTTCAAATATCGTTTTACTTTATTTTCTTTCAAAAACCATAACTTTCGTCTTACTTGCGTTCAATTTCATACGCCTTGCTTTTAATAATCTGTTAATTAATGGTTACTTTCCTTTGCAGCTCGGCTGCTGACGACGCAATAATAACTTGATCATCAGCGTACAAAAGGCCTTTCACGGTCAACTCACCCATTCTAGATCCGCATTCTTCAACTTTCAAATTTTCCAAACAACTGTCCATAAATATGTCAACTTAATCTTGACACTCAGCTCAAATTAAGAAAATTAATGTTGCATTTTTTTAATATAAAACTACGTTGCGGTATTTCAATAAAGAACGGCTGTAAAAGAAGAAAAAAAAGAAAACTTTTGAATATTATGATCAATTTGATTTCTTGTGTTTACGAGAACAAGTTACTAAGTTTTACGTATATAGTACTTATTGGGACTTCAAACATCTTAAACCATGAGTAATATATAGTACTCGTAACTAAGGGAATTTAAAATAAGTTCACATATGATTTAAAATCTGTGAAACTTAGTTTCATTGAAATAGTGAAATAAGCTGGTTATGGCAACCACAAGAGTTCCCAATGTTATCCACGTATATTTTAAGGCTGTACACGAAGCAAAATTACGCAAATAAGAATTAAAATTTACGTTTTACGTATATAAGACCTATTGGGACATCAAACATCTTACACCATGAGTGATATATAGTACTCGTAACTACGGGAATTTAAAATAAGTTCACATATGATTTAAAATCCGTGAAACTTAGTTTCATTGAAATAGTGAAATAAGCTGGTTACGGCAACCACAAGACTTGCCAATGTTATCCATGTATTATCCATTTTAAGGCTGTACACAAAGCAAAATTACGCAAAGAAGAATTAAAATTTATCATTAATCAATCAAGTTCAAAAATAAAATAAAGAATCGGTTTAAAGATCTTTATTTCTCAATAAGATAATAGTCACTTATATGAGAATAATAACTATATGAACTTAGTAATAACAATTTTTAGTGGGGATATAAATAACTTTGTTGGATGTCGCTTATAAGAAGCGAATATCTTTGTTGTTTATTCAAACTACAAGTGGTGGTCCAAGTTTAATAATGTTTTTATACGTTTTTTTAATGTTATATACTTTATACGTTATATTATGTTTACCATAGTTTGTTCTTGTAGGCGGCAATACAAGGTGGCTAGCTCGGCGTGTTATGTATTTCTTTGTTTGCTTCTTCGTTAAAAACGTGAGTTGTGTGTGGATTAATTTATGTTTTATTTTATATATCAGTATGCATGTGCTATATGTACAAAGTTTAGTAACGTTCAACAGTTTAGTTTCCTTATATATTGTATTAGTTGGTGTTAAAAAGTCATAGTTATACAAAAATTTTATGATACGGTTTTGTAGCACTTGGAGAGGTTTGAGATTGGTTTTGGCTGCATTACCCCATACCTCTACAAGGTAAAGTAAGTGAGGTTTTACTAGAGAGTTATATATTCGGGCTTTTTTCGGAATACATCGAAATACTTTGTGAAGGCGGCCAACGAGAGAGGAAAGTATAGTCAAAGTAAGGTGGTTTTGGTTAGGAAGTTTTTTTGTTTTTGGCACTGAAAATTGTATATGAGGTCTTGGCTACATTAATAGTTAGGAGATTATACTGAAACCATTGATGGAGTAAGTTTAAGTCTTCTCGAGCTAGTGATATATATATGAGATATATAGTTTCCAAAGTAGAATAAACACGTATCATCTGCGTAAAGGGATATTTGACCTTGTAAACCTGCTTGGTTTATGTTGTTGATGTACACTAGGAATAGCAATGGACCGAGGATAGAACCCTGAGGCACGCCACAGGTTAAGAGTTTGGGTTTACTTTGAATGAATCCAATTTTTACTAGTTGGTAACGGTTGCTCAAATATGATGCCATCATTTAGTATACTTTTCCAGTGACGCCAATATTTTGTAGTTTTTTTAAGAGCAAATTATGGCTAACTGTGTCGAAAGCCTTTTTTAGGTCCATAAATATTCCCAGTGTTGTCATACATAAAGTTGATTTCAGTTAATTAGTCGTCTAATCTCTTGTATATAATTTTCTCTAAAATGTTGGATAGTGTAGGTAGAACTGATATTGGACGGTAATTTTCCGGACTAGATTTCGTACCAGACTTATAAATTGGAGTGATTTTGCCTATTTTGAGATTGTCCGGAAAAATTCCTTCGGTTAACAATCGATTTAGGAAATTAGTTATATTTTGGACTACTAAACTTTGGATACATTTGATAGCCTTGATACTAACTCCGTCTAGACCTACACTAGTGTTGAGATCCAGATAATCAATTATTTTTTTATTTCATTGACGGTGCATGGATCGAATTGAGACAGTGTACGGTGCGACATGCCAGGATCAAGGCTCGGTACTGTGTGTGTGGTGTTGTTATGGAACTCACGCGGTATTTTATTTGCCAGTTGTGTTCCTATGTTAGCAAAAAAATCATTGAATTTTTCACATATTTTTAGGGCATCCGAAATTATTATACCATTTTCGGCTTTTAGGTTTGGTGGAGCACAGTGATTAACATTTTTATTATTTGAAAGTGTTTTTATAAGATTCCACATTTTTTTAGGTTTATTTCTACATTTTGTGAATTATTAGTAGTTGTAGGTAGACGCGACCTGTTAAGGGAATCAAGTGACAGGTCATTCAATGTATGGAAAGTGGGCATGATTCTTTATCTAAGGTTATCCCATTATCATTGTAAGTGCTGCAATTTTCAAGTACATTATAGCAAAATATTTTCTCAATAGAAAGAAAAACACAATGGTCCTTTGTTGTCATTCATATTAGTTTCGTTATCAACAGTGTGCAGATTTTAGTGACAAAAATTAGAAAGAAACCGTCGTCCATGTCAGTCAGAATGAGTCGAATAATGCTGCTTATTTCATATGGTAAGTGCAGAGAAGCAGAGACCCTTTTTACTGCTAGCGAGGCATTCCATCTTAGTGTTCAGAAGTGAAAACGCGTCTGCATTTTAGTACTTAATCAATGATAGATGAAGATGTCTATGGTCATAGCATCCAATTACTATCTATCCTTTTGCTCGTTTGTTACCTGTATATAATTGAAAATATAATTGATTCTGGATAGATAACTACTTACCATTTGTGTGCGGATGTTGTATCGCAATACGCAATATAGAAATTCAAAGTCGTTACAGATGTCAGAATTAATTTTCATTCAATGTTAACAAGTCGATAAGAGACTGATCAAATTTACTTACAGAATAAAGATTAGCTAAACATTTGTACTTGTGTTGAATTATTGTTAAATTGTTTAAGTGTTAAATTATTAGATTTATAAATCATCTAACGGTTCTGTAGTTTTAAATAAACATTTCATAGATATAATTTTTATGTATATGACTTTGATATACATAAATCTTTTAAAATTATACATTTTATGAAATACAGAAATGTTCACCGAGCTTATTTTTTCATCCATCATCATCATCATTGAAGCAAATTACGAGTCTACTGCTGGATAAAGGCCTTTTCCGAGAAATACCACAAAGCATGGTCCTTGGTCTCCTGCATCCATCGACTTCCTGCATCTCTTACTACGTTGTCATCCTATCTAGGGGACGTCCCTACACTATTTCTAATGGCCGCTCCATTCCTACATCTGCTTACTAATCCGTGAGATATGTAGGTTACACTGGTTCTACTTATTATAACTTCTTATTCCATCACATATTTAAATTAAAAATTCAAGCACAGCACCTTCACAGCACGCTGAGCGTCGTTAAGCTTCTACATACTGCTAAGAGTGTAGGACTACATCACATATCGATATAACATCACTAGGAATACACACTGCTTGTATAATCTTCTTTTCAAGTGATAATCTCTCACATATCAGTTGTCAAATCGCGTAAGTATATTGTGATGTAATCAACTGTGATACTATAAAAGAGTACGGGTAAGCCAAAGGCAATTGAAATCAGTTCATGATATACTTATAATATAGTTTTATATAAGTAACCTCCAGTTAACAAATTTTTTCAGGAAGGTTCGCGCGTCGCTATATTCTATGCTAACATTAAAACATTGTCGACGTAAAGTGACGCAAAGCCATATAACTAAAATTTAGAGCAGGTAGATAGTACAGTAGTAGGTAAACAGTAGATTTATAGAGGTATTATTTCTTGCAACGGATCTGTTGTCATCTTTATTCGAACTTGGTACCTCATGGACTGCAGTAGCCAATTACTATCAGCTGGAATGTAAGTTCGTTTATCACTTCAATTTAAAAAAGTGTCCCCCAGGGACGAATGCAAATTTAAAATTCAGAACCGAATAAGTTTTAGCAAAAGTAAGGAACTCAGGTACTCACGAATAATTAATGCGTTGTAAATATAACGCTCTTGTAGTGTGGGCACAGTCTTAGTATTTAAGAGTAAACGGTATTTTGATTCCTTATCGATGAAAAATGTAGGTACCTATGGGTCACAGTATTTACTTACCATCGGATACACTGTGTGCTTGTTTGTTTTTTAAATTTATAAAACGTGGGCTAGGCTACATTTTCATTGACATAAATATTACAAATTGATTAACTCAATATTAAAATCAATATAAAATATACAAAATGATAAGCAAATGAACGTACATTAATACGACACACGCATGTTTAAGTATTTATGCGCATTTTAACTTTCTCCCTTGCTTAACTTTTGAGTACATCACTTAAAAGGAATTTTCAAAGCTTGAAATTGTTGAAGATAAAAAAGAATTCATAAAAGAGAGTGCTTTTAGCAAAAGTTCCGGTATACCGTAATATAAACCTTGTTGCTACAACATCTTTAAACACAGAATATTTGATCGAACTACATGACTTAACAATAAACTTAAAAATAAATAGATGGTATTGATTGATTTATAGTTGTAATTAAATTTTACCACCCTGGAAATACAATTCAAAAATTGTACTTCAGGGTTGGTTTCATGTGATTTAAAAAAAAAGGTTTAAAATCTAAGCTTTTAATAATAAAAATCCCCATCATAAATTCTTCTATATCTTTTACTGACTTCGGTATGAGTGTACCGTGTACATACAACTTTCGAAAGAGAAATTTTTATAAACACTACGTCCTGGCACAGATTTTAGAAGCTATTATGTGGAAATTATTATATCCCTTTTTTAATTTTTAACCATCCAAAGTAATCTTTTGTTTTTATCAAAAGTAAAACTTCTACCAATTTTGAATTTCAAACATATCAGCCACATCAAACATATTATTAGCATATGGCCAGTACATTGCCACTTCATCACTTTTCTGATCCATCGCAGTGAGAAACTTCAAGCATAGCCTATTCATAGACCGGTGAGTAACCTTAAGCTTCCATAAACTAGACCTAGATATGTCACTCTTGCTACCTGCGTGAAATAATTATAGTCGGGACTAGCGTGTTGTAGGCGATTGAATATTAAAGCTTTTTAACGCTTCTTACGTAAATAGTTTTTTATAAATACTTGTTGAAATAGTTTTTGTTTATTGTTTAGGATATAATAGTTGAAAAAGTTACAATATAATTTAAAAATTATGTATAATATGTTTATTGATAAATTATAATGGCAGAACGTCTTCCCTACTATAATTGTTGCGGATGTTCATCATTATCATTACAGCCCTTCACAAGTCCACTGCTGAACATAGGTTGCGGATGTTGAAGGATGCTAAATGACCAAAAAAATTTTTCCGCAGTTTCAGATATATTCTTCTTTAAGTGTCCGAAGAATTTAAGTAGGAAGTTATATAAGGTGAATTTATTTCAAAATTTTTGTCAGATAGGTACTTATAGCAAAAAAGAATTAAGTAATAGTTTATCTGCAGAAGTAATACCTGAGTACTTTATTACAAAACTTAGTTGAAATTTACTTCACTATCCAAATATGTACTTTCGTACCTTACTTATGTATACTTATCTTTTGTAATTAAAATATTTTTGATTCTAATAACACAAAATTCTGTAATTGAAACTTTGTTTACTAACAAGATTTTTAACTCAGTAGAATACGATACGATATTTCTGTTAAAAATCGTATTTCAGGTTTTGTTTGTTTAAACTATCTACTTATTTGATTTACTTCATGATTCTCGACGGATAGCCTTGCAAGTTGCATGCGTTGGGCATCACAGAACTCACATACTCGTAGGTACGAAAATACGGTCAGTCGATCATAGTCAGAGCAGGTACTTCACCTTAGTAACTTAATTACCGTTTTGCAATGTATTTCTTTACTTGCAATTGACAGCCCTCAGTAACCACACAAAAGTCCGCCGTGACATAGGAAGGGGAAAAGGTGCAAAGTAATACAGAAAATCGCGCGCAGCGATAAAGTTTTATTTAGCTTGCGTGCGTGATTTATCTAATTAATAATAATTATGTAGGCTGTTAAACGTCGGCAAGCAGTGAACATCAAAGGAGTGCAACTTCTCTACGTAGTACTGTTATTTATTCTGTGCTTATACGAACAGTGGTGAATTACGTCCCAGCTCCGTATTATGTAATCACTATCAACAAGAACTGATTGTACACTCTTGTTGTAAAGTTTCAAGGGACACGTGGCAAGAAGATGTGATGTAATCTCCTAAACGCTTCCTGAAGGAGTTGAATTGATCTAATCGATTAACTTAACACATTTGAGATGCTCTGTTTATCTTAATCATCAGACAACTTTTGTTTTTCTCAAGAAAAACCGTAGGGGTGTGATATGGACGTTATAAATGATCTTGGTCTTGTCCATGTTCATCTTAAGACCAATCCGTTTTACATACAATATTGTGGTCATTGAGCATAGATGAAAAGCCATCCAGACGAGGTAGCGTAGACTACAATACGAGTACACACATACAATTGTTGCGGAAAAAAGATTTAGCGATAAAAATAAGAGAAGAGATAAACAAATGATGAAAGTAATCATTGGCAAAGTAATCGTTTACAAACAAGTCTGCACATGGATTATCTTTAAAAAATACATCTAATATTGCGCTCTAGAAATCACTTGTAAGAGTGGTAGAGCTATTAGACAAAGGCATTTAATATAATCATATTTAGTTTTCTTCTAATTTTTTATTAGCCTGCAATATCAAGATTTACCACAAATTCGAATAAAGCAGTTCGCTACATATTTCGTCACGCATACAAAAAAGAAGTTGCCAGCATCTCTGTTTACATCCTATTAAAAAGTTGGCGTCTTCAAAACGAGATTGAACAGACATTGTTGTATTTTTGTGTGCTTCACCATCAAAGGCTACATCACCACTTTCATCACTTTTAGAATAGTAAAAAAATCAAGAATTTATCTGAATCATCAGGCCTTTCAGGTTTATATCAATCACAGTACTAGACGTATCACACATTAATTTTACATCTAACTTAAACGGAATGGTTATAGCGCCATGTATCGGAAGCTGGGAACTTTATGTCATTTTTCATAGTCGATTCTTACGACCCACGGGACGAAAAGGCGTGATATATACTCATTACGATGAAAAGGCGTGATAGATACTGATTGATCGTCGCGCCTTATAAGTACGCACACCTCGTTGAGTTTGCTCTTCACAAATAATAAACAAAAAGTGGTTGAAAGTGACTTTTGAAAGTATGTTTTTGTTCTGCTACTTCAGTTTTTGTGTGTATCAAACAATTAACTTTAAATAATTAGTCAGTGATATTCGCAATTAATAATAATCAATAAATATCCGATCCGTTCAATGTTCTATTACCGTCAATAGCAATAAATGTTATAAGTACGCACACCTCTTTGAGTTTGCTCTTAACAAATAATAAACAAAAAGTGGTTGAAAGTGACTTTTAAAAGTATATTTTTGTTCTGTTACTTCAGTTTTTGTGTGTATCAAACAATTAACTTTAAATAATTAGTCAGTTATATTCGCTATTAATAATAATCAATATATATCCGATCCGTTTCAATGTTCTATTACCGTCAAATAGTAATAAATGTAAAGTGTCTCGATAAAACGCGTAAGCGCCCTCATATTCACGGCGCCTACAACCTTCTTCACGCGGACTATTATGTACTGGTCGTTGCTGTTAGGGCCTTTATTAGTGTGCGCAAATAGTTACCTTCAATTATAATTTACATTACACATTGGACTATTATATATGTCATTAAATATGCAACAATCATTCTCCGATTCTGAAACAGAAAAAAAAACACCCCCTAACTACGTACAAATGCGATATAATAAGCGCCATCGCTCCGATGACTTTCTGGAAGAATTAAAAGACTTTAAAGCAGACATTAAACATATGATTTCTTCATGGATGTCTTCAAATGAAGAGGAACGTGTTCGTCTTTAAAGAGATATAAAAGATATAAAAAGCAAAATACGGGAAGTGAAAAACTCCAAATCAGAGATTGAGAAATCTGTTGAACATTTATCACATCAATTTGATGGAATTATGAGCAAAATTAGTTCTTTGGAAATTAAATGCTCTGAAAATCGAGCTTTCATACAGCAATTAGAACAAAATATAGAATCTCTGCAACGTTCCTCCTTAAAAGCTACCGTAGAGTTTCGTAATATTCCTGCAAAAAAAGGAAAAGAATCCACCAGTGATCTAATTTCTATTGTCACTCGTATCGGCACTGCCCTTAATTTAGAAATTAATCCTTCCGATGTCCGTGATGTTTATCGTCTGCCAAATAAATCTGGTTCCAGTGGTATTATTGTAGCTGAATTTACGTCTGTTCTTCTTAAAAATGATGTATTACAAGCTGCTAGATCCTTCAACTCAAAACGCTCAATTGATGAAAAACTAAATTCCACGCACATTGGAATTGAAGGTAAAAAACAACCAATTTTTGTATCTGAACACTTCAATCTTACCACTAGGAAAATTTTCGCCCAGGCACGTCAGTTTGCAAAGGACAACCATTATAAATACTGTTGGTCTACGAATGCGCGCATATTTCTCCGCAAAGACGATTCTTCAAAACAAATACTTATAAAGACAGAGAAGTGTTTAAATGATTTGATAAATTAAATGTAGATTATCTTCTTTTTTTGTTTAATATTTAATATCAATATTCAACTGTTTTTTTTTTTGTTAAAACCAAACAATTTTACTCTATTACTCTAAGCTAAAAAAACCTATACTGTTACATTTAACAAACACAAAACACTTATAATTTTTTTTAAAGCAGCAGTTAATTATACATTTAAACACTACTTCATAATTAGTACTTCCCTAGTTCGTAATATTAAATTATATTTATATTAACCCTGTAAATCTTTTATAGTATCAAACAATATCTATCTTAGTGCACTAAACTTTGTTTTTAAAAAATGAATCCTATAAATGATATATTCTCTGACCTAGATGGGTTCACGGTCTCAAAATCTTTAAATTGTGACCCTGAGGTATGCATAAATTACATAGATAATAGCGCAAGTTCATTTACAATATTACATCTAAATATTTGGAGTATAAATTGTGACATAGACGGTCTACAGTTATTACTCGAGCAGCTTATAATACAATGTGACGTTATAGTCTTATCGGAGTGTTGGGTTAGCAAAACAACTCGTGTTCCTTTCCTAGTCGGATATGAATCACATCAAACGAAAAATACATATAATCTAAATGACGGAGTTGTTGTCTATGTTAGATCGGAAATTGTTTACACTATTCACGAACCCCCCTTTAAGGAAGCAAACTGCCTAGTATGTACTTTAGGTAATGAACTATCTATTGTCGCAATATACCGACCCTATTGTTTTTTTAACATTAATAATTTTTTACAAAGTTTTCAAATGGTTATCTCCGGCCTGTCGGTATGTAAAAATATTGCAGTTATTGGTGATATTAATATAGACACACTTAAATCTTGTAATAACTGTAATGAATATTTGAACTTGTGTGCCAATCTCGGCTTATTTCCATCCCACAATCTGCCCACACATTCAAACACCTGTCTTGACCATGTATTACTCAGAACGAGTCAAATCGCCACCATTATGATAGTAGACTCTTACATAACTGATCATAACCTCATAGTATTAAATTTGAAATATAAACCTAAGTCATTAAACAACAATACTAATAGAATAAATCTTAACAAAACTTTAATTATAGCTGATATAAAAAAATCTGATTTTAATGATATTTTAACATCTAAAACGGTCAATGAAGCCACTCAAATTCTTGTAAAAAGAGTTTCGTCAATAATTAAGACTCATTCTATTTTACACACAATCCCTAGAAGGATTAGAAATAAAAAACCATAGGTCACGCCAGGACTACTGAAATGTATCAGAAATCGCGATCGAATGTATGCAAAATGCAAGAAGTATCCCAATGATTTGACTCTTAAACTTACATATAAAAGATATAGAAACTTCTGTAATAAACTTTTGAGAAATCTAAAACGGACCTATGAAAAAAAACGAGCTACTTAAAAATAAAAACGATTCAAAAAGAACTTGGGAAACTGTAAAAAATATATGTAATATTAAAAAAAATGTAAATTCTTCAAGTGATCTTTTAAAAATATCTTCTGATGTATCTGCATTAGTGGACTTAATCAACAATTTTTTGTTAATATTGGCAAAAACTTAGCTGATGAAATTATTAATAGTAGTCCTTCTTATCTCCTTTTAGAAGATCAGAACTCTTTCTTTCCTTTTTCTTTAGTTTTGCACGAAGTACAATATGATGAAGTTGACAGAATTATTAATAGACTTCGTTCTGATAGCGCTACAAGATGTGATGGTATTCCTACATCGATCATTAAGGCTTGTAAAAGTACTTTTACCCCCCTTGTGACCTATATATGTAACCTGTCAATTCAAACGGGTAAATTCCCTGACCTTCTTAAGAGGGGACTAGTTCATCCAGTATATAAGGGAGGTAAACGGGATATTGTAAATAACTACAGGCCAATATCTGTGCTTCCGGTTTTTTCTAAAATATTAGAAAAGGTGCTTAATTCACGTCTTGTGAAATTTCTCAATAAATATACCTTAATAGCTGATAATCAATTTGGCTTTCGTTCTGGCAAATCCACAGAAGATGCTGTAATAACTTATACTGAAACGGTTGTTAAGAACTTAGACAAAAAATCCAAATGCCTAGCGGTCTTTCTAGATCTTTCAAAGGCTTTTGACACAGTCTCAGTTCCAGTCTTACTCGACAAAATGGTAAGAATAGGAGTAAGAGGCATAGCTCTGGAAATATTTAAAGATTACCTCAGTAATCGGAGCCAATGTGTAAAAATAGATAATGTTTGTAGTGGATACGATTATTTGCACCGCATGTGTACCACAGGGCAGTATATTAGGACCTACCTTGTTTTTAATTTACATCAATGACCTGTGTAAGATGTCTTTACCAAACTGCAAAATATTAGCCTATGCAGATGACACTACTTTAATAATCCACGGCAATTCCTGGGAAGATGTTGAAAAAACCGCTGAGCATGCCTTGAAGCTAGTAACACAGTATCTGTCTTCTAATCTCCTCACACTAAATATTAATAAAACTAAATTTATAACTTACTCATTAAAAAAATACACAACCTGCGTTAAACGCCTATGAAATTAAAATACACACATGCAGTTCCTAAAATCGGTCACATGCACGCTCGCGTAAATCAATAGAGAGAGTAGATACCATTAAATATTTGGATGTCCACATTGACAGTAACCTAAATTGGAGTACTCATGTTGCACAACTTACTGGTCGTATCAGAAAACTCATATACATTTTTAAAACTTTAAGGCAAGTGGCTGATAAACACATAATAAATATGGTATACATTGCCCTTTGTCAGTCGCTTCTTGTTTATTGTATCCCGGTTTGGGGCGCTGCTAATAAAACAGTTCTAATATCTTTGGAAAGAGCTCAGCGAGCAGTTTTAAAAATTATAAATTTTAAACCGATTTTATACGACACATCGAAGTCATACGCCGATTGTAAAATGTTATCTGTCAGGCAACTTTATATCTTACGAGTTATTTTAAGTAAACACATGGAAACGCCCTTTGATCCTAAGGTTTTACACAAACGCAGATCTGACCGTGTGTGTAAAACTAAGATTCATAGAACGTCACATGCCAAAAAACACTATTTTATCATAAGCTCAATATTATATAATAAAGTAAATAAGAAAATCAACATTTATCCGCTTAATACGTTTGAATGAAAAAATAAACTAACAAATTGGCTACAATGTCTCACGTATGAAGAAACTGAAACCCTCCTAGTTTGACTGTTGCTAAAATACTCACGCGCTCACACACATACACCCATCAATACACATCTATACACACACACACACACACACACACACACACACACACACACACACACACACACACACAAACACACACACACATACACACACACACAACAACACACACACACACACACACACACATACACACACACAGACACAAACACACACATTTCGTTTGGTTTTAATTCTTTATTTTATTTTCCTCCTTTTATATTGTTTCGTTTTTAAGTTAACAAGTTTATTATTTTTTCATTTATACTTTCTTTTTACTTTTTGCTAACCCAGTCTTGCCGACACTGATTTTATGAAGAGCGCTGACTTCTATGATACAGGCCCTGCCTAGTTTAGAAGTCAGAGGTTCTAATATAATTTAAAATGTAATATTTAGACAGTATGTTAATATATATTTTATGTAAACTCATTGTTATGCAGCAATAAAAATTTATTATTATTATGGGGGTATCAATATAATTTTCTCATCTGGTTGGGTTCTATAAATATATAATTATAAATGGAAATGAAAAGATAAATATACATAAACATCAATAATATAAAATAAATGTAAAAATACATATATAAATAAAAGCCCAACCAGATGGAGGCCCTCGGCAGGCCCCCGAGAGGCTGACTGGGATTAGCCCGTTTGCAGAGACGACTACAGGAATAATTTCGGTCGGCAGACCACCCCACATGTCGGTCACCTCGTGAGCCAGGTCCAGATATTTTGTTTGCTTATCTGTTTCGGCTTTCACGAGGTTCTCGTCACACGGAATGGTAATGTCGACCAAAAATATCCTTGACTGTGCCCGGTCCATCAGCACAATATCAGGCTTATTCGCAAGAATAGTCCTGTCTGTGATGATAGCCCGGTCCCAATAGAGCCTGGCGCGATCATTTTCGAGCAAGGCACGAAACCGTATTTCAGAGCGAGCTCCTGGTGTAGAATTCTGGCTACTAGGTTGTGCCTGTGCAAGTACTCAGAGTTAGAAAGCGCCGAACAACCGGAGATGACATGCCTAAGTGACTCACCGGGATGGCGACAAGCTCGACAGATGTCGATGGTGCCATCCTTTAGGATGTATCTCCGATAGTTGTTGGTCTTAATAACCTGATCCTGTATTGCACAGACAAAACCCTCGGTTTCCCCGAAGAGGTCACCAAAGCGTAGCCAGTGGAGGGAGGTTACTGTGTCTACGAAAGGCCCATGTAGAGACTTCCATCGGGAGACCGTATGGAAGGAGAAGGACCTCCCGTGGAGCTCCTTCTCCTTCATACGGTCTCCCGGTCGGAAACTGTCTGCACTGCCGGGTCCTGCCATTGCTTGTTGGCTAAGGATAGAGGGGTAAGTCCTTTATCACAAGAAATGACGTCCTTATAGAATGGATCTTCCGATCTCGCCAGGAAGTAATTACGGAGGCTGCACACTTCGCGATTATGCATGGTGAGCGCGCTCAAGAAGCCACGCCCACCATGCTTTCGCGGCAAGTACAGCCTCATTACCGACGATCTCGGATGATCATCCTGTCATCATCCTGTGGGATGTCATGGTAGTGTGGACTTTTCTATCCAGGGCGTTAAGTTCAGTCTGAGTCCATCTGAGTATGCCAAAGGTGTACATGAGGACAGGCATGACCCAGCCCTTATATGCTTGTGTCTTATTCACACCGGACAAAAGGCTGTTAAGCGCTTTGGTCAAGCGTGCATAAAACACGTCGCAAACTGACTGTTTCATATCAGCCTCATCGATACCGATGTTCTGTGACATACCCAGGTATCGGTATGTTTCAGCCTCGGAAAGGGTCCTTAAGTTGACGGGCATAGATAAGTCTATGCCCTCAGAGTTAGCAACTCTACCCCTCTCGACATGGAGTACCGCATACTTATCCGTCTCCAGCTCCATTCCGTAATACCCGCACACTGACTCGCCACAACTTCCGTCCAAGGGCCCTCGCTGTGGTTTACGGGCTCCGACCACAGGCCGCGCCAGAATGCTACAGTGTCGGCCTGATTCGGTGCTGGACCCGTTCCACTTACCATTGGTCGCTCCAATGATTCATAGAGCCTCTTCTGATCACTCTGGAAGAGACGATTCTGGTTGAACCGTGTCGACCTCTCGGTATATCGCCGAATCCGCTTTCCCCAAGCAGCGATTCTCTGCTTCAGATCATCTATGCGCTCCGTCAGTTTTTGCGTTATATCCGTCAGGATGGCGTCCCAGCAAACGCCATCCTGACGGTGCGCACAATTCTTGGCCTGTTGTTGCCTGATCTGAAGCATATCAGTCTGCCGATGAGAGCTCTAGCCTTTGCGATACGTTCCTCAATTCTTCTTCTCCATGCTGGGATAGCGCTACTATGGCCAGTAGCACGTCCAGCCGTGGAAACCTTGGCGCCTATGATACGGCAGACTGCCAGCGCGGCGCCAAAAAGAATTGAGTCCATCTCGCAAAGGTCCCGGCTGGCTTCCAAATAGGTCACCAGCATTGGGTTCAGAGCCCTCACGACAGCCCGATTCCGCTTGCTTAGGGCTATGCTGGTAGTCGCGGTCGATTTTCGACAGGCGTACTGCGCGTTTCCACAATCGCCTCTTCCAATGTACTCCTCATATGCTCTAATTCCAGTTCCTGGGCGACTGTTCCATCATCGTTTGAATCAACCACAACTGGGGTATTCACGTTTGCGGGTTGCTCTACCATTTGTGGCGCCGCATCCTCAGCCGTAGCATTCTCATCCGACGAGGGAACAGCCTCACGTCGTAGCCGTTCGAGTTCGGCGACATCAAATATATTTGAGCGCAAGATATACCGAACTCGGTCTGCCAGGTTTTGCTCTGTGACGGTTAAAGATGGCTCCAGCTCAGCAAAAAGACGATGCATCCTAGCCCGATACGCCAAACATCCAGTTTCTCCCCCTTTCGCCCTAAAATACGCCCGCAATGCGTTGCTGTTCATCTGGGTTGTCCAACGCATGCGGCGTACTCCACCAGATGGCAGGTGCCGATTGCTGGGCCCGCGAAGACCCTGCCGACACCAAGCCAGCTGGTGGGGATGATGGATGCGAGGGGCTGCTGGGAGGTCGTGCAGCACCTCGCGCTCGGCTGGCGGTTCGCATGCTGCCGCGTCCAGCGCCAGCTCCAGACGCGCCCTGGCGACCTCCAGACAGCGGCTCTTTGCGCGTTCAATTTAATTCCATCATCCATTTTTAGGGCGTCATTTAGCGGGAGACGCCCAGACCCGGCGCCGTTTCATGTTGAGGCCATGTGCACAAGCGGGTCTTTGCACCTTCAATTTTTGCCGAGGCACGGCACTAACACCTCTTGGCAAGGTGCTGACTGACTGCGCTGACGTAGCGGTTTTGTCACATAACCGTTACGTCAGCGGGCGATGGGGTCGTCACTTCCCTACGCCTTATTATTATTATTATTGTGGGGTATCTATATAGTTTTCTCATCTGGTTGGGTTCTATAAATATATAATTATAAATGAGAATGAAAAGATAAATATACATAAATATCAATAACATAAAATAAATATAAAAATACTTAAATAAATAAAAGCCCAACCAGATTGAGGCCCTCGGCAGGGGAGACCAAACGGCCGAGGGTTAGAGGGAAAGAGAAAGAAACCGGCGGACGATGCGGGTTGTATCGAGGAGCACCGCCTTCTGTATTTGAGCCCGGAGCGGTCCGCCACGTAGTCCCAGTCAGCCTCTCGGGTCATCTGAGGCCGTTTGCAGAGACGACTACAGGAATAATTTCGGTCGGCAGACCACCTCAAATGTCAGTCACCTCGTGAGCCAGGTCCAGATATTTTGTTTGCTTGTGTGTTTCGGCTTTCACGAGGTTCTGGTCATACGGAATAGTAATGTCGACCAAATATATCCTTGACTGTGCCCGGTCCATCAGCACAATATCAGGCTTATTCGCAAGAATAGTCCTGTCTGTGATGATGGCCCGGTCCCAGTAGAGCCTGGCGCGGTCATTTTCGAGCACGGCTTCCGGCAAGTACTTGTAATACGGCAATTTCCGGTCCACGAGACCGTATTTTAGAGCGAGCTCCTGGTGTAGAATTCTGGCTACTAGGTTGTGCCTGTGCAAGTACTCAGAGTTAGAAAGCGCCGAACAACCGGAGATGACATGCCTAAGTGATTCACCGGGATGGCGACAAGCTCGACAGACGTCGACGGTGCCATCCTTTAGGATGTATCTCCGATAGTTGTTGGTCTTAATAACCTGATCCTGTATTGCACAGACAAAACCCTCGGTTTCCCCGAAGAGGTCACCGAAACGTAGCCAGTGGAGGGAGGTTACTGTGTCTACGAAAGGCCCATGTAGAGACTTGTAGAACCTCCCGTGGAGCTCCTTCTCCTTCCATACGGTCTCCCGGTCGGAAATGCTAAGCACTGCTGGGTCCTGCCATTGCTCGTGGGCTAAGGGTAGAGGGGTAAGCCCTTTATCACTAGAAATGACGTCATTATAGAATGGATCATCCGATCTCGCCAGGAAGTAATCACGGAGGCTGCACACTTCGCGATTATGCATGGTGAGCGCGCTCAGGAAACCACGCCCACCATGCTTTCGCGGCAAGTACAGCCTCATTACCGACGATCTCGGATGATGCATCCTATGGGACGTCATGGTAGTGCGGACTTTTCTATCCAGGGCGTTAAGTTCGGTCTGAGTCCACCTGAGTATGCCAAAGGTATATATGAGGACAGGCATGACCCAACCATTATATGCGTGTGTCTTATTCACACCGGACAAAAGGCTGTTAAGCACTTTGGTCAAGCGTGCATAAAACACGTCGCAAACTGACTGTTTCATGTTGTTGTTCACTGCATGCATTGATGTTCTGTGACATACCCAGGTATCGGTATGTTTCAGCCTCGGAAAGGGTCTTTAAGTTGACGGGCATAGATAAATCTATGCCCTCAGAGTTAGCAACCCTTCCCCTTTCAACATGAAGGACCGCACACTTATCCGTCCCCAGCTCCATTCCAATGGAATTGCTAAATTCACAATTATTATTTTTTATTATTATTATTACACCGCAACTGTATGTTAAAGATACGTTATTTAAGTTTTTGATTTTGCTCTTTTTTATCCCTAAAAATAATTACTTCAAAATATGGGTATTTATGTAGCTACATACTAATCAAAAATAGCAAGGCACAACATAAGTTTTAAAACTTACTAAACTAAACTCCAATAGGAGTTAAGCCTGTTCAAAGCTATTGTTAAGATAGGCAATTTTCTTTCAACTAATATCCTTTCGAAATTGTAAACATTCCTTTGAAATATTTACTACTGTAATGGAGTTTCGATAACTTTCACCGGAGCGCGTAAATTTGCAGAAACGGAACGCAGTAACTAACACGTATGTTTTGCAGCGGTAACCCAAGAATCTTAATTAAAACACCGTCAGATTGTTGATGTTCCTTTCGAAATGCAAATCTGCTACAATAAATTTTTTGGTATGCCCCGTAGTCGCCTTTTACGACACCCATGGGACAAAATGGGGTGTTGGATTCTCTTCCCTCACCACCACACTGCAAAGAAGTCTATATCTGCTAATAAATTTATTTCATCAGGTTTATTAAATAGATTTAAAATCTTTTAAATTTTTGTTAAGAAATTCACAGCTTGAAAGTAGAATTTAAATTAATTAATAAAAGCAGTATTAAATTTCATTCAGTAGTAAGTAAGATATAGGGAGATGAGCTGCAACATTTTTCTTATAACAACTGAAAATAATAAATATCTGTGGTTGGCCAGCCCGCCTGCCAAGCGTGTTCACTCTGGTAAATATCCTCCTATTAGGTAATTGAGGAGGCCCGTGTGCAGTATTTCACTTTTGATAGGCTATTATAATAATAATAATCTATTTCGACCATTTAATTGTCAGTACATGCACCATATAACAATAGTTCAGGTACTGACAGTCAGCTCTATTAGAGAATATCATTAAGATACCGTTGGAGCTGGCCGAGTCCTAAGTACCAAGGTAGTACACTCGCGATCCCCATTCACACCCCATTATTGTGTTGCACGCGCAAGGCGCTGTATTGTTGTTGAGATTAATTAACCAAGAGGCTGCTGATGTAGAGGGATGTGCAATAAGATTTAAGCAGTGTAACGTTAATTGCAGTTGTGAAACGAGCAAACCTATGGACGATATCAGCACTTACAGACGACGACCTGCGCTATCTGTCAATATCTAATTTGTGCCTCAGGTCAGAGGTTACTAAATGTCCAAGATACGTAAACTGTTCTACTCTCTTCAAAGGGATTCCATTCAATTTAATAGGTGGAACGCTAAGTAGACTTTTGTTTAATGCAGGAATGAATTAATATTTGCTTAGTTTTTGATCCATTTTTTCAAATGATGATATCACTCTGGTGAATTGGCCCGTACGGAGATAATTAGTGAGCGACGAGTATTATAAATCTCAGTAGTAAAATATATATATCCACCTAACATTATATATTCTGTTTCCTATTTTTAAAGGAAGTATTGCTCTTATTGCTAAACTATTTTATACTATGTAATTGACCACATATTTGAGTGTTGTTGTTATATGTTATTGAATATATTTGAGTTATATTAAAAAAAAACAAAACCTAAATATATCATTTAAATAAAAAAATAATTTTCATTTTCATTTCAAATTCAGGTGGAATCTCTTAATAGGAATATATTAATATGAAATATCGTGTTAAAGCTAGTTCCGTTTGACAAAGTGCATGGGATATCAAAGAGACGGTAATTAAATTGGCAATGAAACCTGTTCTTGGTACAGAAAATCATAGTGTCTTGATGTAGTGAATCCAGATAAAACACAATGATATCTTATATTTACGCTAACACTACTCATTTAAATAATACTAGTTTTTCAAGAATTAACATTAATAATTCAATTATCTATAAAAAAATATAAAAAAAATTAATATATGAGATAATATATAATATTATCGCGTATATTAACTTTTTTATATACCCGACGTTTCGAGCACTTTACAGCACACATGGTTACGGGGGGGCTGAGATGTTCAACGTCCAGATGTCAAAGTTAACCGCGTTCACTATAGATTAAAATTATTAATTTTTAAGATTAACATTTTAACTATTAAAAGCCTTTGATTGACAACCTTCCTACCTGATTAAATGTTAATTTAGCCGAAGAAAATGCTTAACACTGGATATTATAGAGGGTTATTTTTCAATAACCAGCCTTTGCAGAAAAGGTTCAAAAATAATTAACATGGGCAAATGGTGGAGAAAAATTAATTCGAAAAAATCTCAACTGTCCCTTTTATCTTTTAAATTCAAAATGCGTGATAATGCATTATTTTCAATGATTTCACTGCACACGTACACATTCATAAGGGCGATCGGTAGGCAAAAACGTTATTGTTCATGTATATTCTATTTGGGATAATTTAAAATAAAAGTAGAAGCCTTATTTACTCGTATTTCCAAAAACTGCAATAACATTAAATATATCATTATTTATATATTTGAACTTAAGTTTGAAGTTTGGCTACTCCTTGAAAAATTACCCTGTATATTGTGTTTAATTTTTCTACTTCGGTGAACTGAAATTTACTTTTTTGGTTTAAATATGGATGTATATATCTTAGTAAAAACTGTTATTAGATTGATTAGTTTCGTATCTCAATTAAAATATCTAAAAGGGAATGCATGATTCTTCATTTTTACGTTATATTATATCGTACAATTTTGTGTAAGTACAATAAAATAATTTTTTTAGAATCGAAATATCTCTTATACTTTTCTTTATGTGATGCAAATTGAAGCGAGAAAGATAATCTAAGAAAGCGAGATCGACTGTGTGTTAGCTCGTCACTCAAACAGGT